GTTAAATTTTAATAGTTTGAGGCTGCACTATCTGATACAGTAGCTACCAGACACATGTTGCAATTAAAACATCATTAAAATAAAACAGAACATCCAACTCCTCAGTCCTACCAGCCACTTTTAATTGTTCAACTGCTACCATATAATATGACAAAGATGTCACACCCAAAACAAAGAAAAATCTCTCTCTCAGCTTTAAAATTTTACAGCTTTTTCCATTCCTGTTGTTAGTGCTATTGAAGCTACCCAAGTCACAAGGCTCCACAGCATATTCTTTTATTTTTTTTTCTTTTCCACAGCATATTCTTGAAGTACTAACAAACTTCCCAGACCAAACCAATCTTCACTCTCGTGAAACAAGAGGCAGTCATCATACAAATGAACCTGATTTTTTTTTTAAAGCAACAGTAAAGAAACAAGTCCTTTAATCTACTGACTATACAGCAATCTTTATATAGTATATTGTATATAATACTAATACAAAGAAAATAAAAAACTTTTATGCAAAAAGTACCCCTCAAGAAAGAGCAATGACAAATCGATCATTAAGTTTTAAATTATTTTTCATCCCTGGTGTAACACATACCGTAATGTGATGTCTAGAGCAAACTATGACCTCCAGCTTTACTAAAAATGACAGATATAGTTACAGAGAGCAAACCACAAAACAAGCAAAGCTGATATTTCAATGACTTCATGTATTTCAAACCAAGAAAAGTTAAATCCAAAGAACTCTTTTAGAAAACAAGCTAATTTTTAAATTCTCTTTTATTCGATCCTAATGTACTGCCATCAGCTAAACCAATTTTGGAAAACTAGAATACCTGCAGAGAAAACCCGTTTCCTTTGTTAAAAGCAGACAAGCACTTGCTTATTAAGAGCCTTTTATTTTCAGACCGTGTGTTAGTTTCTTTTTAATAAAACTTCGAAATACTGTTTTTAAATAAACAAAATTCTTCCTGTTCTCTAATCTTTACAACACTGAAAACCTGTGTCCAAAAAGTTTATAAGGAGTCAACAAAAGATCTTTTTAATCACAACTGCCTTTGAAAGTGATTCAGCATCCATTTAAGCCCACAAATAAAAGCTTTACTTTTATAAGTCTTCATTAAACCTGCTATTTGTTATGGTTGTTTAAAATTTAAAATACAAGTCTTTTTTCTAGACAAGTGAATCGACTCACATTTCATAATATTTCTTTGTTTGAAAGAGTGCTTTAAAACATTAATTACTTTGCCAGGAAGGAAAAATTCCAGTAACTTAGTTTTACTATTCCTTTTATACTTCTAAATCCTCAGAAATTCAGTTTTGTTGATAAGTTGACAAGACTAAGTCAGATACCAACAATGACTTGTTCAATATTTTAAATCTATTAACTGTAGCTGGTTATGAGTGATGTTGAGCATCTTTTCATGTGTTTGTTGGCTATCTGTATGTCTTCTTTGGAGAGGTGTCTGGGTCTTCTGCCCATTTTTTATTGGGCTGTTTTTCTGATATTGAGCTACACGAGCTGCTTGTATATTTTGGAGATTTCACAAGGTTTCTTAATGAATTCTATCTAAAATACAAGGGGAAAATAAGTCAAATAAGAGTTCCTAAATTTAACTTCTGTTTCTTTTTGAAACAATAATATGTACCACATACAGTTCCATCTGTAGTGACTAGGGGAGAGAATTTGGAGTGAAAGGAGAGGAAATATTACACACAATAATCTGAACACCTGCCCTTGTGTGAAAATCTTGAGATTTTCATTTTTATTAAAATCTTCCTGTGTCTCCTAAAAGAGTGGGTTTGTGTCAAACCAAAATGATTCCTTCTGGCATTGGTTTCCCTCTTTTGAAATCATGACCCATTTTATGTTGTTCTGCTTGCTTGATGCGTGCGTCTTCTGGATGTGCTGTTTACATAGGAAGTGAAGGGACCTGCTCTGCAAGACTGTCCCTCTTGGGAAGTCAATGGAATAGCTCATGTATGCTGTGATTTGGCTCTTTTTCAGGAAAAATGTTCTGTAGCTCCTCAGTCCTCCAAGAGGATCGAGAGGGTACAGCAGTATAGTTTCGATATAACCTTCACCACTTATTGGAAAATAGTTAACAAAATTCAAATCTTTCAAACATCTACTGCCTACTCAGCACCAGACACTGAGTACTGCAGACGATACAAAGATCTGACGTATGGTTCCTAAAGCCCCCAAGGACATTCACAAATAACTAACATGCAGCAGGAAATTACAAGTATCCCAGGGACTGTGAGCTTAGGAGAGATTATATCCAGCTACAACTGGAGCCCGGGAGTGGGGGAGGGGCATGCAGCCAGTTCAGTGATAAGTTCATAAAGGATATGCAAAAACAGGACAGGGCAGGGACTCATGGAAAGGGGGAAAAAACAAGAGAAGAACCGCAGACCTCAGAGTAGGTTTCAACTGCTTCAGAGGACAGAGCACATGGAAAAGGAGCCTTAACATTAGCTACAGTCTACAGCTATTTTGACTATAAGTATAATAATTAATAATCAAATAGGTTAAATCTAATACACCAATATTTTATCTCTGAAGCAAACCAATCGGTCTAACCACAAGAAACGTATATACAAGGAAAATCTACAAACTGAAGCAAAATTACTAAAGTACACTGGAAAATACACACACGTACACACACACACACACACCCCATACAGGAAAAGAAATCCTTTTTAGTTTCTTAATCATTGAGAGGTGTGGGAGAAATGTTGGACTACAGCTCTGCCAGCTTACCACTATCACAGATTCCTTTTAGGCTGTCAGTATAAAACTGCAGGATGATTCCCTAGTATTCTGTTCTAAACCCACAAACGAGGCGGTTATGTGACCAGCTGCAGCTCCCTTCCCGCATTTCAGGAGCCCTGGGTGTCCACACACTTGCGGCTCTGTATTACCTCACACAAGAGACTGGCAGTTGGCCAAGAAGCCCCTGCCATGGTGTATATTCCCCAAGGTTCAAGATCTACCACTTAATTCCAATTCAGCCATGAAATGACTTGTACTTTAGTACCCTATACCAAATGAAAGCAAATTAAATTCCAGTCGAAGTTAATAAAGGTATTCCTCCAAAATGCAATATGCAAAGATGTTAAAGTACACAGTCTATTATTTTTAAAGAGACCTACAAATATAATTCTACTCCATTAAGAAAATTCTAAGATAATTCTTTAAATTTCTTCAAGAGTTACTATTCCTTCATAATCTTACCAATAGCAACAAAACCCACGGCACAAAGAGATCCAATTGTATTTCCAAACTTCCCCATTAAGCATCTCATGCACATTGCTAACTAAATATCAAGAATAATGAATGTTCTCAACATCTGGTGCATACAGACTGACACAACCTACAAGGATGACTATGAGACAGATAGCTCAAAGAATGATCTTAATTCCTGCTGTTGAAAGAGAAATACTCACAACTTTATAGAAACACACAGTTCTGTCAGTTAGATAGTTGTGTCATTCTAGTACTTAAGTGTCCTGAGGGAAAGGGGGAAAATCTAATGAAAATTTTTAACACCTTATCTAATGCTTAATTTTTGTAGGAAGGAGTGTTTCATGAGATTACAGAACAATAAACTGAGCACTAGGTTCAGAAAATCTTCACAAGATTTTCACTTTTACTGATGTCTTCGCCTGCCTCTAGCTTGTCTCTCAGGTCTGGACATCATCCACACAAAGGATCACTGAAACAGTAGTGATCTGGAGGACTAAATCTTACCATGGTTTATTCAGTAACCACAGCATTGTAACTGTAAACTTGTAAAAATGTAAACTTGGGAAGCCATTGACCTTTTCCCCTGCCTTTTGATGGGCACCTGTCTATAATACAATGGTCAACCAATGATATAGAAAGCACACAACTTCAGTAGAAAGTGTGAATCAAAAGCAGTATTTGGACCTTAAATCCCCATTCCTGCCCAGTATTGCCTTCATGTATTGTTTCTGCCACACAGCATTCAAGGGCTGTATGGCAAAAACAAAAACCAAAGGGCCCCTTTCAATGTCAAAAACCTTTCAAATTCAGTAAAATTATTAAAAACAATAAAGATTTATTCACAACTTACTAGTCAAGGAAAGAGATTTGCTTCACACCAAAGTAAAACTGTAAAATACACTGACTCTCTGATCATACCGAATGGATGTGGATTGTTAAAATATCACTTGTAACCTAAATAACCTGTTCTAAGTAGTCAGAAAAATTCTCAATTTCTTGTCATTTATATGAAACAGACATGTACAGTGTATCACAAAGAGAGAATAAGGCCTCCAATGTCCTTTTATAGGATGTGATACTTAAAAAAAAAGAAAAAATTAGCCTGAAGGACTCCCTGGTGATCCAGGGATTAAGAATCTGCCTACCTATGTTGGGACTTGGGTTCGATCCCTGGTTGGAGAACCAAGCTTCCACATGCTGTGGGGCAACTAAGCCCAATGCAGCCAAATATATAAAAAGAAAAAATAATTTAAAAAGGAATTAGCCTGAAAGACTACACGCAAAATTCTTAACATTTACCTACAGAGAAGAGGAGAGTGAACTGTGTATGAAAAGGAGAGACTGTCAAAATAATTTTTTAAACAAAGAAGTGAAAATTTTAAGATTATGTAACAAGATGTAAACTGGAACAGTAGGAACATGGATTTCTATCATGTTATTCTTTAATTAAACACAAAACAAGAAAAAGAAAAGAAATCATAATGAACAACAACAGTTACCTTTCATTTCCCTAAAGCTTAGTGGGATGGGAAGAAGAGGCAGCCAAGAAGTGGAAAGGGCCATGCAAGCTTACATCTGAATGATTAAGGACAGGCACTCCTGACAGCCCCAGTCCTCTGTGCATGCCCACAGGTCTAGAGAGCAGTGACAGCAGCCTCCCACTGGCTTAGAGACTAGAGGAGGGCAAAGAGCCAGGAAGACAAGCAAACACTTGTACACACATAGTAAAGGAATATCACTTTCAGAAAATATTAACACTTACCAGTATGTACTGTAGCTACTGCAATCCATACACACCGTGTGCTGTGCTTTTTCTTGCTTTTCTGATTTCTTATGGTTGGTTAAGGGTATTTGTGCATCTTCATAATGTTTTTTTGCATGGCCATTCACATACCTTCCAAAAGTCAAATGAAAATATATTTTAATCTAAATACTGCTTTCGAGGTTAAAGTAGCAGGAGATGATAATAAAATTAGATGGTAATCAAATAAGAATGAGAAAGAATTCCTCCTAACAAAGTGCATTCAGTCCTATAAGAGCATTCATCACTTGGTGATTTATTAAGCTGAGTTCTTAAAACATACTCCTTTTTTGCAAACATACAATCAACTTTTAATTATACACAAGACTAGGGCCAGGAAAGGAAAGGCGCTATCTATTTAAATCAGTTTTAATACCTTATCAACTCCTTTGCTGATTCTTTTGCTAGCCTGTTCCTTTTTTAAGCTTTTCTCAGGCTGCCAGCCCCCAACTCAGGCTATTATCAAAGACAAGCTTTGTAAACTGAATTACTCAATTACAGCCCACAGGGCCACAGGCTCTGCTTGGGTTTCTGCTTAATATAAAACATGAGAGTGAGACATGGAAACAGGATAATCTCCCATCTCTTTCTCATCAATATGGCTTCAGATTTTTTATTTGAATGCCTGAATAATCACTCCACTAACATGGAAATAGGGCTTGTTTAAAAGAAATCCTAACAAAACACAAATCACCTTAAGCTTATATAAACTGTTATTTCTTACTACATGGACAAAGATAATCAAAGGTTGACTATACTCATAAAAATTTTCTAACACTTTCCAACTCAGATTTAATAAATCATTTTATCACAAAAAGCAAAATGAAATTTAAATAAAGTTTCATCTATACCTTCACCTAAACACTGTACAATATAATGCCATAACTGCTACTACTTAAAGACCTTCATAAAGCAAAAACTTTCCAGTTCCTAGCAAACAGCCAGTTTATAGAAGGTAAGGCCTAACTGTAAACTAAGAAGAGTCAAAACAAATGTTGCTTACATAGTACCAAAATCTGCTCAGAGAGTTGAGGTGACATTTTTCTCATAAGGTGCCTTAATTGTACAGGAGCAACACTTACCGTGGAGAAAGTAGGGTAGTTTTTGCTATGTAGGGAGGATCACGGGCTTCCCTGGCGGCTCAGACAGTAAACAATCTGCCTACAATGCGGGAGACCTGGGTTTGATTTCTGGATTGGGAAGATCCCCTAGAGGAGGGCATGGCAACCCACTCCAGTATTCCTTCTTGGAGAATCCCATGGACAGGGGAGCCTGATGGGCTACAGTCCATGGGGTTACAAAGAGCCGGACATGACTGAACGACTAAGTACAGCACCGGGAGGATCAACTTCCAAGCCCAGCCTCTCCACCCGAGGAAAACTAGAGGCATCAGAGGCACTACTAACGTCAGGATGTGATCATGTTTCCTCCCATTTTTTTCACTGTAATAAACATAATGAAGACTTGTGTGTAGGGTCTTCTGTTCACAAAAGTGGACTAAAATGAATTTTCATATAAACAATGATTAAGAGCATAAATTCAAAAATTAGACAGCCTAGGTTTAAAAATAGGCTTTGTCACATGCTGGTCTGGTATGTTTGGGTGAGTTACTTCATTTCTCTACTTCTGTTTCTCATCTATAAAACTGAGATATTAGTACTTATACCCTATGGGCTGTTAGGTGATTATTATTATAATCCATGGCTCAGAATGCATGCATGCATGAATGAATGAATGAACAAATGAATGAAAGTCAGTTTTATTTTACTTGTATTTTCCTTTATATGCTTAATCACTATCTATTCAGAATCTCAATAACGTAACTGCTTAGAGAGTCATCACATTAAACATACTTCAAGATAACACACTGGACAGATCAGAAAACATCCAATATTTAACTAAAAGATAACTTCCAAGGAACCATATAGGTTCACTATCTAATCAGCTTAATAGCCTATGCTTACATGTTTTTGTACTGTGTCATGAAAAACAACAGTAATATTTATGAGTACCCTCAGAATCCCATAAAAGTCAATATGGAACAATAATAAAGGCATTACCACTTTCAAGTCTTTGAAAACTGATAATCTGGACAGAGTATATAGTTCCTTTACTAACCATACTGCAGTCTCCAAATGTACTAGATGTTTTCATGGTTACTATAATAAATTTCAGTGATAAAGTAAGAAGTGTATTAAAGATGACATTAAGATTAGCAATGTTTTGGCTAATATTCAAATACATATCAGAAGTTAACAGTCATGTATAAACTAACATAAAAATACACATTTCCCTCATCCAGTTTTAGATTTTAACCAGATAATTTGTCGAAAAAAGGAAGAATGTCATTATACAACATCACAGATTTTTTAACACTGGAAAAATAACTTAAATGGTATGGTGCCATAATGGCCAATAAGATATATAACCCAAATATGCTACTGATAAACTATGTTTCCTAGTTGAAAGAATATTCAATTTAAGACTCCCCTATAGACAAGTGATCTAAATTACTAATAAAATCAGAATTCTTGGCAGTGAAATCCCAGGATTACATGTAAAAGAAAAATAGCCAATCAACTGTATAAAATGAAGATTCAAATGCAGGGTACTCTCATTATCTATGTAATCTACTTAATCATATTTCTCTGAAACTATGTCAAATTTATAAACCTAAGATTGATTGAAATTGGAAACATACTACCTACAGAGCCTAGAAAATTTTCCATTTATTCTTCCAATACTTACTTAGAGAACTATGTGTTGCTTGCTATTAAGAATCTTAATCTCTCCAATTTTTGAGAGTTTGTCAGGTCTTTTTGTTGACATATGACCTTCCAGATTTTGGTTGTAGAGCACTAGGAGACAACTGGAGGACAGAACTATATCAATTTTATTGCATTATAATTCTCACCTCTCAAAATCTAGGAGAGGAATCTGTCTCTTCAAGTGCAGAATTTAAGCGCTTCTACTTTTCTTCTTTTTTTTTTTAAAAAAAAATGTTATCTGTACAAAGTATTTTCAGGTTCCCCAAATCCTAGAGATTTCAAAACCACAACAACCACAATTAAGATATGCAGTTAACATTTTCCAAAAGCACTCTTAAGTGTACATGGAAAAAAAATACTCAATTCCAGGACTGAAAATATGAAAAATCAAACGTTAACTGAATGAAGATGCTCTCTTCATGCATTGAGTGTTTACAAATAATAATGGAGAAGCCACCCAAATAAATACAATATAAATTTCAGACTGAAGGATTCAGTATGATTTCCCATCCCCTTGCTGCTAAGCTACTAATTTCTTAAGTAAATTCAAAGCAAATTTTCTAAGCTAAAAGAGCCATAGAAATAAATGTGCTACTACTACCCGGCACACCAAGTCTGCTACTTATTTGAGTTTCTGTTAGAAGAAAGAGTTACTAAAGTATTTGATATTTAAGTAACATCATTTTGAAGCCAAGAACTAGGAGGAAATGCTTAGGTTTGAACTGGCTTTGGGAGTGTTAAGCCCCTAGAAAGCAAAAATGTTTTAATCGAACAGTGAAATATTTGGAACGTCTTATACACCATTAACAACAAACTTCACAGTGAGACCATTTTCAAGGGAATTCCTTTATCTGTTTTGTTTTCAGAAGAATGAGATGGTATCTTGGATTTGATTCAAAGGTCAGTAAAGGTAGGGATGAGTAGGTAACAGGTGAAACAAAACTGGCCACATGTCAATCAAATATTACAAATAGATTGTTTTGATCATCAAATTAATTCTTCTGAGTATCAACAGAAAGGGGTCCCCCCCCCCACCCCACCACTAGATTTTCCTCAGTTCCACCGCTGAACAAAGGGATTCTATCAGGAGAGGGAAGCCGTACAGAGACGTATGTACACACTGTGATTAAACAATGGTGCTAAATAAATCCGAATCAACAGAACTTTGACCAAAGCTTAAAGGTAAACTGAAAACAAGCAAGTTGGGTAGTTAAGTAATGATAAGTAAGTCACCTACCTTCCACAGTGGACACTTGAACAAGTCAGACAGACCCAGGGGCTTTTGTTGGACCGGCACACTAATAAAAAGAAAAACACACAGTATACCAATTGTATCACGTTAGTCCCCAGTTTCTCCCCTAATCTGTAACACCACATCCCGTGATTAAGCTATAAACTCCACGTCTGCTTAGGTGCACTGGGATCACAAGTGCCCGCTTTGCGAGAGCACTTACACAAGATGGCTGCCTAATTAAAGCTACGCGGCGCGGAACCCGAACACACGTCCACAGCAGCTGCTCACTGGCACTGCCGACTCAACTCAAACGGCTTAGCCACAAGTTAGACACACTTCTCCTTCATCACTCACTCCTTTCTACCAGCGTCTCTGACAACTGAGGGACAATCTATTGTCTGATTAAAAACGTTTTTTAAGTCTAAATCTTTAAATCACATGTCTTTACCACACAGATCATAAGCTACTATAAACGACAACTCTTTCGGTTTCTTTAGTGAGAGGCATAGCCTAAGGATACAATTCGGAAGACTAAACCCAATTCTTCCCAAATTAATGCCTCAGTTGCATTAAATATAATTCTATAATTATAACTGCATGTAATTCTTGCTGAAGGTATAATCAGGATATTACTTACTTTGACTATTTATTACAGGGATGAGGTAGGCAAACAGGGTATGAAAACTTTTAAAATATTGATTACAATTTTGCTTGCTGTTTACTTATTCAATTTTTAAAGCCCTATAAACATAACAGTGATTTTAAAAGAGAAGGGATCACCTGAAAACAGCTTTTTCAAAATACACACGTTCTCTGGGCAGAGACATCTACATTGAGGTGCAGACAGAAGGACAAAAGAACATGTCTATTTTGAGAAAGGTAACTTCCCAGGTGACTCCTTGAGAACCACTAGGCAGTCTCCTAGGGGCATGAGAGGGACAGCGCAACCAACACTCAGGATTATAATAAACTGACAGCCTGGCACACAGTATATGCTCAATAAACACTTGTTGAAGTGAAATTCAAATGTCTTAGTTCAAGATACTAAGCTCTTCCAAGATCTGATCCCTACTATATCAGTCTTGCCTAATCAGTATGTCACAATCAGCCTTTCTTATTGCTAAGAAAAATTAGCCAACACTGGAAATAAAGTGACTCAAGAACTATACGCCCTTTCAATGTATAAGGAAACACATTATACTGATACAATGAATATCCCAAAGATATTTAATTATAATACCACCATGTGACCTGCTGTTTTCTACTGACTAGGACTCAAATTCCATGAAGTTACAGGTAAAATTGTAGGATTTTATTTGGTAGAGATAATATCTGTCCCGCATACTCCGAGGGTTATGGTTTTACTACCCTGCAGGACATTAATTGATTTTATATCTAACCTAGCAATTTACTTCAACATTCATTCTTCAGTGTCTGCATTCACACAATCCCTCAAATGCTCTTGGAATCAGCTTCACCATCCCACTGGTTTCTTCATTAATGAGTTAAACAAGCCCTTGACATACATTCATTTTATATTTGTGTAGGAGGGGAGGAGAGGGCAAGGAGGGATAGGGGAGTACAATCATACACTATCCAAGGGGCTCTGCCTGTCTGCCCAGCACAGGGTTCTATTTGTGCATAAGAAAGTTTGTGCATGCATGCATGCTCAGTAATGTCCAACCATAGCCCATGGACTGTACCCCACCGGGCTTCTCTGTCCGTGGAATTTTCTAGGCAAGAATACGGAAGTAGGTTGCCATTTCCTACTCCAGGGGTCTTCCCTACCCAGGGATCAAACTAGAGTCTCCTGCATTGGCAAGTGGATTCTTCAACTCTACACCAGCTGGGAAGCCCATAAGAAAGCTTTCAGCGGTAAAAATCCCTTTCCAGTTAACCAAGGGCTTTACCTTACCTTTACCTTTCCTTATTGCATTATATCAACTGCTAAGGGCCATCCTGATGGCATTTTAGTTTTTCACTCGGTTGGGTCCAAGTTTGTTATACGTGCATATAAGTCACATGACAAAGACTAATAAGAAAAATGCCAAACTGCTAACAGTTATTTAACACAGGTACATGAGAAGACTACTGTGAGGTAGTCTTGGCTATTGGCTTTTTATGTGTACACACCCCTGTAGTATCTGATTTATATCAATAAAAACATGACAGTCTTATAGTTTGAAAAGAAAGACCTATAAAGTATATTTTTAAAAAGAAAAATAAATTAGAACACAGTTTACTTGAAACAGATAATCCTGATCTGAGATACAATTTGAAGGATTAAAAAACTACAAATATCATCTAGTCTTATTCCTCCACAAATCTTTTTCTTTTAGTAAAGACTAAGAAATATTGTATTCAGTCTGGAAAAAAAGTTTAATATGACCCTGAAATAAGTAATTACAATAGTAAGTTGTTTTATTTTTTCAGATTTGATTTAGGTGGACCATTTTTAAAGCCTTTGTTGTATTTGTTACAATGTTTCTGTTTTATGTTTTTTGGGGGGTTTTGGCCACTAGGCATGTAGGATCTTAGCTCCCCACACTTGCTGCATTAGAAGGCAAAGTGTAACCACTGGACCTCCAGGGTCCTCAGGCCCCAAGTTTTTAACCATTAGAGGGTTTTACTTTTTGTGTAACTATGGGAAGATTATTTTTGCCCCTCCTTTGAATGAGGAAAAGAAAACCTAGAACAAAATTACTGTTGTGTTTCCTACCAAGTGTTCATCCCCTTCCCCCACCCCGATGGCTGTACAGTGTGTGTATGGACAAAAAATACATACAATATTGTGATCTAGTTTTTCTACTCAGTACAGTAAATGCATTTCTTCGTGTTACTAAATTAGAACATGCGTGCATGCTCAGTCACTAAGTCGTATCTGACTCTTTTGCAATCCCGTGGACTGTAGCCTGCTAGGCTCCTCTGTCCATGCAATTTTCCAGGCAAGAATACTGAAGTGGGTTGCCATTTCCTACTCCAGGGGATCTTCCCAACTCAGGGATTGAACCCACATCTCCTGCATTTGCAGGCAGATTCTTTAGCCACCAGGGATGCCCACTAAATTAGAAGAGTGTACTCGGGTCTTATAAAATCTCAGTTACCTCATAGAGTTTTAATTCCTCAGTTTTAAATTTTAGAAAATATGCCCTAAGGCTGAGGGAAGGAAGAATAGGGAAGAAACTGCCTAACAGGTGTAGGGTTTATTTTGGGGGTGAGGAAAGTCTTGAAACAAGATGGAGATGAGAGCTGTAGATGTACTAAATGCACTGAATTTGGTTGTTCATTTCAAATGGTTAATTTGGGGAACTCCCCGGGGGTCCAAAGGCTGGGACTTTCACTGTCAGGCGCACAGGTTTGACCCCTGGCTGGAGAACTAAGATTCCACAAGCTGCACAGCTTGGCAGTAAGTAAATTTTTAAAAAATCTTTTTAAAATGTTAATTTTATGTTATATGAATTATACCTCAGTTAAATAAATAAATAGGTGCTTAAGACAGGGATAAGGAGAAAGAATAAAAGGAAGTAAAAACAGTATTGACATTCCAAAACACTAGAAACAAGTGAGTGTGTCTGTTACTAAATCTCAAAAAAAGACCTCACTTCTAAATTAAGAAACCAAATTTCTTCTATTACGAATATTTACAATAAGAAAGTTAAGATTTAATGTGTGATAGGACATTTGGTCTTGGCTATTTAAAGGACAGTACTCTCTGAGTGCGTAATACTTTCACAACAGAAGAACATCTGAAGGCTAGGAAACTACAGAGAATAGGGTTATTATGAAGCCATTTATTACACTGCTTTGGTTAATATTCGCTGTTTATATATCCCTTATCCAAATTATGAAACCTTTAATGTACCCAGGAAAATTGTAAAATAAAAGAAAAAATGCTGGCTTTAAGTTAAACGCTCAATTATTGCTATAAATAGAACAGATCATACCATGAGTAAAAGACTATTACAAATAATCTTAAAATCATTCTAATCATCTTAAGGGGACATATCTTATTATAAAAGGTAGTCTCAGTTTACAGACAGATGGGTTTCAGATTTATCTGTAGGATGAACACATTTCCTGTGGAAACTACATTAGAGGTTTGCAGGCTATTCTATAAAACTCTATAAGAACCATTACAAACCTGAAATACTATACTGTGTGTGTGTATAAAATAAAACCATACACAGTCTATAAAAATGTTTTTAAGATATAAACTATTCAGCAAAACATAAAAATATTAAACAAAGGTTTTTATTTTTTAAATGGTAAATGCTGGTACTTGAGAGAAAGAGGGTGATAAGGATGGAAACTTATAGAAGTTCAAAATGATAAGCCATAACTGAGAACTCATAAAGGCTCTTTTTACTAAGCCTCATTATACTTCAAGGTGATGTCAGGGCAAGGAAGCCATGCAGTGTATTTCTCTGTTACACGTGGCCACGGAGGGTCACTGTGGATCTCATAAATAGAGTCTGGTCTTCTTTCACTCAGGTTATGAAATGTCCTCAGAGCTACTCTCCTCCAGCAATCTGTCCCGCATGCTGAGACTCTCGCGGCCCCGAGCCGAGGTCTCCTCTCTCAGCTCCTGGGCATCTCAGCCTGGGGGACAGACACTGTCTAGCCCCTCACTCCCTTCCTGCTGCTGTGGCCTCAGGGCCCTGTCCTGTTCTCACCCGCAGCCACAAGCTCTGCGAGTTGGCAGAGGCACCCCTTTGAAGGGGGTGGAGACTCTGGATCCTCTCCCGAGCTAGGGCCACTCTGCACAAGGTAGAAGCTGTGACACAGGCGGGGCAGGCAGAGAGGTAGAGGAGCCCCAGACTCTAAAACATGCTCATCTTCATGGGTTCCTGCTGAAGCCCCCAAAGCTTTAACTCTCCGGAAATCCAGAAGTGACAACTGACGGTGGGAAGGCATCCAAGTGATCTACAAACCAAAGTGGTTTTATTCCCTACTATTCCTATAAAGGGGGCTTCCCTGGTGGCTCAGCAGTAAAGACTCCGCCTGCCAGTGCAGGAGGCATGAGTTCAATCCCTGGGTTGGGAAGATCCCCTGGAGGAGGAAATG